GATGCTGATCATGGTAGTGATACCACAGATCGCAAATCTATTACCGGGTTTTGTATCTTTTTAGGTGATTCTCTTATTTCTTAGAAGAGCAAGAAACAATCTATTGTTTCTTAATCATCCACCGAAGCAGAATATCATGCAATTGCATTTACTACGAAAGAGATTGTTTGGTTACATTGGTTACTTGCTGATATGAGAGTTTTCTTTTCTCATCCTACTCCTATATATTGTGACAACCAGAGTTCTATTCAGATTGCTCACAATTCAGTTTTTCATGAGCGAACTAAGCATATTGAAATCGATTGTCATCTGACTCGTCATCATCTCAAACATGGCACCATTGCTTTGCCTTTTGTTTCTTCTTCCTTGCAGATTGCAGATTTCTTTACCAAGGCGCATTCCACCTCTCGTTTTTGTTTTCTGGTTGGCAAACTCTCGATGCTTGTTGCTGCCGCCTTTTGAGGTTGAGGGGAGATGTTAAATAATATTTATGTAATCTTATTTATTAAGGGTAGAATAATATTTTCAGCTTAACTTATATATAGTTTATATGTATTTAGGTTAAGGTTAAACATTCATAATACAGTAATTATTCAGAATTGTAACCTCCATTTTGTGTTTTATCTTTAATTATTTTAAAACCCTTTATGTTCAGCCCTTGAATTTCTGATAGAGGCTTTCCTTGCTCGTTAGGATCCATCCCATTCAGGTCTTGTTGATCCCTTACCGTTGTAAGGTCCTGGGACTGAACTTCCTGGAAAAAGTTATCCAAGTTCGATAAATGGAGATATGCTATATGATGTGGTGGTAACTAGTAAATGCACCGGCGTTTTAATTTATTTTTCTTTCAATCAATAATTGCTTGGTCTCCATTGCCGCCCGCCCGCCCGCCCGCCCGATATTTATTTGCTGGTCTAGGTGATAAGGGAACCATTGAAGAGCAGGGTTCAACTTGGTGGGATTGGCTCAAGCCCCATTCCATGAACCACAGCCACCCTCATCTTGTGGAATTTACGTGATCTGATCATGTAATTGTTTCAAATCTTACCTTCTTGATCTGATCTGTTTGAACTTCTAAATAAATGGAGTGACTAATTCTTGTGTGGAATTGTCTCTAATATACGCAGTAATGTGGTTGTTCAAAGTATTTCACTCTCAGCTAACTATTATGAGGTTCATTGTTCATGATAAGTGGTAGAGCGTAATTGCTCCCTTATTTTTTTTTTTTTAAATATTTTTTATATTAAAATTTTAATATAATAATCTACCAAGCTCTTTTTTTTTTAATAGTTGTTGTTACCTTATTTTTCTTTAACAATTTTTTTTTTAATTCTAAACTATTAATTAGTTAAGTAACTTTTTATACTTTATGTTTAATGTTTTAGGTGAGTTTCCTCCATTTTTTCTATTTATTTCATTGTTTAATTTTAGTTTTATTTCTTAATAATATGACAATTTATGGATTTGTTAAATTAATATGTATATGTATAATATTATATGCATATGAATATTAATTAAAATGAGTTTTGATGAATTAATATTTATTTTGTTATAAATTTCATATGAAAAATGATGATGATCAATGTACTAATAATTAAAAATAAAGTACTGAATAACTAAAAAAATTAGAGATACAATAAAAAATTAAAAAATTAAAAAAATATATTAATATTTATATTTAACACACTTGTGTAAAATAACAAATTAACAAAGAATTGTTGCCAATAATTTTACTAGTCCCTATAAGATTTAGAAATAGATAAATGAAAGTTTCATTATATATATTGAGAAAGAATATCTTTAATGAAATTAATAATGAAGTCATTATTAAGCAATTTTAAAATATAAAAACTCAAAAAAAAATTATAATGTAAGTTTTTTTATTTTAAAAATATTTTTAAATTAATTTTGCTTGACATGAATTAGTACATGCATTTTAAATTAATTTCTCTATATATAATACATGTCTATATAATATATGATATCAAATATTTATAAATTATCTTTCATTTAAAATTTTCTGGTTTCGCCTATTTACAATAACCCTAAAAAATAGTTTCATGAGATGGTGGTATGTGTAGAGTTTATTGGATAGGTTACTAAATCTGCAATTTTTGTTTGAAAGTTTTGACAAAATGCTTTAGAGAGTTGAAAATAAGATCCTGATATTCTTGAATAGGTGAAGAATCCAATCACAGCTCTTCATTCCTCTGTCTCTTATTTATTTAAGATTTTTTTTTGTTTTAATTGTTGGTAATACATACAAGATTGTTACTTTTAATTCATCTTCTGTTTGCAAGACTTTGAGCAATAATTAAATAGCAATTTCTTGATAAAATAGAAGGTTACACAGAAACTTAATGCCTTAAATATTATGGAAATTTAACTCATGAAAATAACTTTTATAGTAAGCTCTCTCTCTCTCTCTCTCTCTCTCTCACACACACACACACACACACACACACACATATATATATATATATATATATATATCCATGAATTGCATATTAATACTTTGAACTATAATGTTATGTTGATTGTTTTGACAATTATGCAAATGTCATCTAATATCTAATATGATTGATTCCTGTTTATAGAAAAGCAGTGGGATGATGCCTGGCTACATCTACGATGACATTTTGCTTGTGTACAAGCCATATAGGCATCTAGCGGGCATTTGTTATGAGATTCCGTCCGAAGGGGAAGACATTTGAGATGTCAACATTTTTATATTTGATATGTCTACGAAAGTTACTATTTCTTCCCAACATCTCCGATTC